CCCAAGTTCTTGATTATTATTCTCTGTACCTGTGAAACGAAACAACTAATCTGGAGTTTTTCAACACTAGGAGTCAGAAAAGTTCTCGAGACAAAATTAATGCACTTACAAGCCCTGGAGTTGGTAAAATGTTCATGGAGAAAAGTACTTTTGTTGAATGATTCACAAATTGGTAACTTACTTAGAAGTCCTTCGCGGCCATTGTTTGTAGCAGCAGAGTTGGGAAATTTTGAGTTCATAGTAGAGCTTATTCAGTCTTATCCAGATCTCATCTGGAAGGTTGATGAGGAAAGTCGGAGCATCTTTCACATTGCTGTCATTCATCGACAAGAAAAGGTCTACAAACTAATCTACAACATAGGATCACACAAAGATATCATCACGTCCTACAAAAGCACAAATAATGAGAACATCTTACACTTGGCTGCAAAGCTAGCTCCTATAAATCGACTTGGTATTGTATCAGGTGCAGCACTCCAGATGCAACGAGAGTTATTGTGGTTTAAGGTAAGTTTTCCATGTCCGGTAAGTGTAGTTTCTTTCTGTATTTCATAACATAGTACTACTTCTACGTGTCTAAAGGAAGTTGAGACAATTGTTCAAGCCTCGTATAAGGAGATGAGAGACTCAAAAGGTCGAACACCAGGAATGCTGTTCACCGAGGAGCACAAGGAATTGATCAAAGAGGGAGAGAAGTGGATGAAGGAAACAGCATCATCTTGCATGCTTGTTGCTGCACTAATTACAACAGTAATGTTTGCAGCAATCTTTACTGTGCCAGGAGGGAACAATAACGATACAGGCACCGCTATTTTCCTCAAAGAGAAAGCATTCATTATTTTCTCTATGATGGATGCACTGGCATTGTTTTCTTCAGTAATCTCTATATTGATGTTCTTGTCTATCCTCACTTCACGCTATGCCGAAGAAGACTTCCTATGTACTTTACCAAAAAGGTTGATCATCGGCTTCATCACGCTCTTTGTTGCTATTGCAGCAATGTTGGTAGCATTTTGTTCAAGCTTTTTCATTGTGCTTGGACATCAAATGACCTGGATTGTCATTCCAGTGGCAGCACTTGCTAGCATTCCTATAACTTTATTTGCTTTCCTGCAATTTCCTCTCTTGGCTGATATGATCACATCTTCGTATGGTTCAGGAATATTCACATTTACAAGTAAGGATACAATTTACTGATTTTTCACAATTGCGATGTTCATATTCATGATGCAACGAGTATTGGAAATCCTACGGAAAATACTTTAATCACGAACATAGTACATTGTGGTGAAAGTGAGAAAACAAATTAAAAAAGTACAGTCCTGTCTAAAACTGAAGGAATGCTAGGAACTCTAAGATAGATTCAGCTTCATGAGCAAGTTCCATTCTACACCATGGATGTGCTGTAAAAAAAATTGAAAAATATTTTCTCTAGCGGAATAAATTACTTAAAAACGAAAAAATGACTTTATAAATGAAAGCAGGATAAATAAGTTAACGAGTGACATTCTACATTCATCGTGTCCTCTGCGCCCTCTAACCTAGCTCATCTTTGCCCACACTCTCTCTGGCTGGACCCACCACGTTATATCCTCATCTCTTATAGCATTTGTCTAGATTATAACAACAATTATATATTACTAAAATTTCATAAATAGGATTTGTTATCTCGTAAACATAGAAAGATTGTTTTCGAAACATCAATCTAAGTACAAGTAAGAAAATAATAAACTTGTCTGAATTATATATAAATAATTTTAGACAAGAATTTTTTATACATATCGAAAAAAAAAATATATAAGCAACTTCCTTATTTTCCTGAAAAATATTTTTCTTCGAATCGAACACATCCCACGACGGTAAAACAATTGTTAGGTTAGTTCTGAGATTCTTTTTTCTTTTTGGTGGGGGGGAGTAGCTGAGTATTTTCCACAAAGCTACAGAAATATGTTTTTGCACAAATGATGTGATACAAAGAAAAAATAAAATAAAATTAAATGGGTACAAAGAAAAAATTAAATTAAATTAAATGGGTACGAATAGTAATTCCTTTGTCCCAAATAGTAATCTCATTTCATTTCTTAATTTATCAAAATAAATAAATAATTATAAATAATTAAAAAATAAAAATAGATGAATAATTAGGAACATAAAAATTAGAAAATAATCATTTTTAAAAACACAATAACCGTTTATTAGTTACTAACTTATTGATTAATTAACGAAATAATATATTTAAAATCGATATCAATTAAATATAACCGTTTAAGCATAATTCTATGTCAACTCATCACAATAAGCAGCCCTTAAAAATAGGCCACCCAAATTAATTTATAAGTTCTACACCACAATTTTTTTAAGATGATTATTTATAAATTATTATATATATTAAATTATTTTTTAATATAAATACAAAATTGACACAAATTATTGAGTTATACAAAAGCTTACACTATCTATCGTTTTTTCCACCCCCAACAACCACCATTAATACCATTGAATTATATTTAAGAAAGAATAATTAATCTCACACATGCACAACCATAAATACAATTCATGCATTAGCCACCAATCTTAAAATAGATAATTACATTTTTTTAAAAAAAAATGTTTTTCAAATAGCAGTAACACACATCATGATATGTTCACATACCACAACTTGTTAAAAAAAAAAAACATTTACTTTAATTTCTTGAATGGGCTAATTAAGTTCATATTAATCGTTTTCATCATTTAATGTTCTTTCTTTTTTTGAATGATATTTAAATTCGGTGAGACATTTTGCTTGAATGGCAAGTTCATATAATTTGACTACTATATATGGAATTATTGAAATTGAAAAGTATGATATTTTAGATATTAGGATAGGAAGAAATTTTTATGGACAGCGTCATATTCAAATAGATCCTATAGCGTGTTCATTAAATTTGATTGAAATTTTAATGCGAGTTTTAATTTAAATATCGGGCAAAAAAAATATTGTTAGGTAGGCTTACGAATTAGAAAGATCCACTTGTTCTGTACTACTCACTATCCGCTTTATTTGTTTGATCTATTTTACTAAAAACAAATGATCTGAACTAGTCCTTTTTTAAAAATGAAAAAAGAGTTTGAAATATATCTAAATTTTAATAAAAAATATTGTAACAATTTCAAAGTTTGGGCAGGACTATTATCCGAACACTATTTAATAGTGTATTTTAAAGATATATAGGTGCTTACATGAACATCACTAATATTGCATCATTATAAATAATAACTTGTCCAACTGACCACTTATATATCTTTAAAAATCACTATTAAATAATGCATGGATAATCGGTAAGGTCCAAAGTTTGCAATTGCTACCGTAATTTCGATCAAAGTTCAAATATATTTTAGACTTTTTTCCCTTCAAAAATCAAGATGATTAATCATTAATTTTCACGTATATCCTTGTATAGATGATCTCCGTTCATTTTGATTCGTTATATTTAGACTTTGGTACACCATATATACACCTATAGAAAATAGTAATTGACACGACTATTTAGTATTTACCACATAGCCTCTTAAAAATAATTTGGAAAATAATTAATTAGTGATGAGAGTAAAATATGGGGAAAATAACTATTTTTTTATTTGTTAAAAGTAAAAACTATTTTTTAAACAGTGAACAGGTAAAAAATATACAAAAAAAGTGTTAAATTGAGAAAAATAGACAGAGATCAATATGGCGAAAAATAGAATAGTATTAAATTGAGAAAAATAATAAATAAGAATATAAATTATTCGTTCAATAAATATTTTGTTAAAAACATTAAGAAAAAAAAGAAAAGTAGAATAGAGGAAATAGTGTAGTAACTACGAGTGTGTTTGGTACGAAGGAAAAAAATATTTGATTCTTCATTAGTCTAGTGGCTGATAAATCACAAATAAAAAGCACAATCCGTGAAATAAATATAAGAAAGAAATTGCACAAATAATAAACATATATCATTTTCAAACTCTAAGATTGTAATCAAAAACTTTGAGTTACAAAAATAAAAGGTGACAATTAATACTAATTTTTGCTTAGTTAGCTAACTATTCTATTTTTATAAGCATTAACAAGTCACAATTAATACTAATTTTTGCTTAGTTAGCTAACTATTCTATTTTTGTAAGCATTAACAAGTCACAATTAATACTAATTTTTGCATAGTTAGCTAACTATTCAATTTTTGTAAGCATTAATCATTCTTCTAGACACAAAACTAGAATTGGCAAATATTCAAACAATTATCTAGTCAAGTATAACGCGTAAATAAGACATTTAATGTGAACACCACTTTCAGTCATCAACTATCCCCTGTTGAAATTCAACTTATTATGACTCAATTTTTCCCCCCTTTATATAACTCTTTACAATAATGTATTTTCCCCACAAACCATTAAATCTCCAAATTACACAACAATTGAAAAAAAAAAAAACTTATTCATCTCAAACACAAATGGACTCCCATTTGAAAATCAAAAACGAATTCATCTCTCTTCGAGACCATCCATTTCCATGTCGATTTCGTTACGTATCTGAAGAAAGCATTCAACAATCATCATCGATCAAAACTCATCAATCGAACTACAGTAGTACGATTGATGAGATTCAACGAGTTGGAAACAATGAACGCAAACACTTTAGTCATCGACATAACTTGTTAACGTACTCGTTGCGTGCCTCGGACTCCGTGCACTGCAATTTCTGCGAGACAATAATTTCAGGCATGTCGTACGGATGCAAACGTTGTAGGTATTTCTTACATGAGTCGTGTTTCGAATTTCCACAAGTTATCGAACATTTAGCTCATCCCGAACATCAATTAACTCTCAAGTATGGTAATGACGATCAATTTAATTGCAACGCATGTCACGTTGGTGATAATCCTGCTTTATTATTCAATTTTCATTATTCATGCGATCATTGTGATTTTTCTCTTCATATGGGGTGCGCGTCTATGCCTTATAAAGCTCTTCACAAGGAAATGGCGTTATCTGTATTTTACTCGAATCCTTTGAGGAATGAAGCCGGACCACTCCTCTGTGATATCTGCGACCACTCTATAGAAAAACAGAGTGGTTGGATATATTATAACTATGGCCATAATTTTCTTTCGCATTTCGGGTGTGTTGCTGATATTGTATATGAGAAAGGCGGAGATGATAAAGATTATATCATCGGTGTTAAAAGGGGACTGATTAATGTCGATGGAGACGATACTTCTATAGTAAACTATCGAGATAACGACGAAGGAATTGTGAAACATAAGAGATTTTTTCATCGACATGTTCTGCAACAACTGGATAGGTCGATGGATAATAATAATAATAATAATAATAGTGTGAAGAATCGAAAATGTGGTATTTGTGGTATGGATATAAGTTCAGATAAGAAAAAAGGATGTTCGAGTTGTGATTTCATTATTCATGAGAGGTGTTCTTTTTTGCCTGAGAAAATTCAACATCCGTTTCATCCACATCCACTATCACTCGTTCCTAAAAAAGACGGAGTTGAAGTTCATTGCGTTGGCTGTCGTCAATCGAGTGGTTGTCACACAAATTACACAGTTTTATACCGATGCAAAATTTGTGAATTTCAACTTCATCCGTCATGTGCTGCAAGTCCAAGGAGATTGAAGAAGCTTGATTTAACTTTGTGCTACTCATTTCCTTATAAGAATGAAGTATCAAAGTTATACTGCAACTATTGTTCAAAAGTTATCAGTAAGGATGAATGGCTTTACTATGGAAGAAGTAGTGATGAGAAGAGGCACATTACTTGTCAATTGGCTGTTGGGATTTCCAATTGTTATGTTACGCTACGCGATCTAGAGGTTGAGTAATTAACTAAACTAGTTATTTCGATCTGGAGGTTGAGTAATTAATTAAATTAGTTATTTCTTCTGTATTGATGCAGAAATCGAGTGAATATTTGTGTCAATAATAACGATTTTTTTTTTTGGTGGTTTCGTAGAATGTTTTATTTTTATGAATAAATTTTGATGAATAGATATGTATGTATTTTGTAAAATGATAATTGTTCTATGTAAGATTATTCTATGATCGTTTGATTTCCTCTTAATTTCTTTCAAACAATGTTCAAAATCAGCTTATTTTGAAAAATATTTTATTAAATTTTTTTTGGAGAGATTTGGTTTGTTTTTTGATAATCAATTTGAAAAAAATAAATACTTTTCTAAATATTAGAGTAGGGATTTTCACTTTATGCTTAGTCAAGCTTAAAAAAGTGATTAATCAAGAAATTATTTCTTTTTTCAATTTTTGAAAAAACTAGATACTCAGACTCAATTATTTCTTTCTTAAAAACGTCAAATATTTTAAAAATAAATATTTTTAATTCTCGAAATTTTTGACAATATAGACTATTATTATTATCTACTTTGTCTTGTTTGATTAATAAAATAATACTCCGTTGGTTTTCTTTGACTTTTGATTTTTCTTTTATTGTTTGTTTCCTAACACGGTATACGTTTTTTTTTCAAACTTTCTTTTAAGTTGACTTATAAAAAATTTAAAAAAATAAACCAGTTGAACGTTGAATTTAATTATTTATATTTTGGAATTAGGAAAACGTAAAATTAATAAAATAATTTTCTATTACGTATTCTGTTGTTGACATTTCTATCAATTTTGAGTGGAAAATTGAAAAATTCTACAATTTTAAATTTCTATTAGTTCATCTCAAAATATCTTCCATGCTGATATTATTGAGTCTTCGATTTTTAAAAACGTGCTTAATCGAAAAGCAAAAATAATAATGTCAAATTAGGTGAAAATTCAATTACTTCCTGTCTATTTGACATAGTAACAAGTCCATAAAAATGATGACCAACAAGGGTTGCACTGATTGTTGGGTTTTATTTGTCCTGAATTTTTACTATAAATAGATTTTTCTTTTAGAAAGAGATTTTGGATTGATTAGTATTTTTTTCTATTAGAAAAAGGTTTAGGACTCTATAGATAGAAGCATATTCGTTCTTACTTAATCAACATTTACAATGTAGTAATCTTAAGGCCATTGAGAGTTTTGGTTAGGGTGAGAATTTGTGGGTCACAAGCTTGATACGTTATCAATTGTGTGATCCTCCCATGCATTTCGAGTAAATTGGTTGAGGTTATTTCTCTCTGTATTTTGTACTCTCATATTGAATTGCTCATCTCCTTTGTGGATGTACGTCGATTGATCGAACCACGTTAAATCTTTGTGTCTTTTGATGTATTTCTCGTTATGTCTTCATTTCTCTTTATATTTTGTACTCTCATATTGAATTGTTTATCTGCTTTGTGGACGTAGGTCGATTGACCGAATCACATTAAATCTTTTATGTCTTTTGGTGTATTTCACGTTTGTCATCTTACTCGTGGTCTTTTGAGGTTTGCTTTGCTAGCTTCCGCATTGCACCTGCTTATTTCCGATCCTAATAATGACAAATACTTTTCTATTTTTTAATCAGATATCGAGCTCGAGTCCTCGTGAGTATAAAATCGTCTTTACTAGAAAACACTTTATCTTTAATGAAAGATTTTCTTAATCTAATTTGAATTTAATCGGTCTCGAAGAAAATGAGTAGGTTATAACGTGAGAAAAGTATTTTGGGTGGAAGTGCCGACTGAATTTACTAAGAAGAATGATAAATGATATAATGATTAAAAAGAATTTTTTGAGTTTGAACACAAACAAAACGATCCATATTATCAGATTTTTTTCTAAATTAACTTTCAAGAAAACAATGATATTTCTTCATACCTTTGCACTTTGAGATAATACCACTTTTGGTCCCATGGTTACAAAATAATATTTTGATTTTCCTGCATTACATTTATTTTTTAATTATTTTAAACATATGTACTATTGGTTCTTCTATGTAGGAAATTCATTGAGGAATTTTTATATATTGCTATGTTTGAATCATAATTATGAATCATAGCAATAGCTTTACAGAAGAGAGGGGCGGTCTAACATCAATCTCAATTAAAAGTGTATAAAATGAGAGGAACTTTGGCCAAAAAAAATTACAGAATAAGAGATGAAAGATGAGACATTTTGAGACAAAAGCCTACATATTAGCTGTGATTTCATATATCATGATGTACAACATTATAAATACACATAAAAGAATTGCTTCTAGTCACTGCAATTCTCAAAATGCATGCATCCAGGAAGTGTGAAATGAATAAATAAAACTATGTATATATCAAAATGTACTAGACCGATCCTTATTTTAGCGTAAACTGTATTTTCTACATGTTAGCAGGGATGTTAATCAAAGAAGGCCAGATAGCAACCATGCCATCCCAAATATAAGTTACAATAGTACAAGAATCTTGATCTACCACCTTCTTACCCGAAAGTCAGGGTGATCCACAAATGCTCAAAGTGGATGGTGACTGAGAAAATGTCACTAGTCTGGATCATAATGTCGTCAAGATTCCTGTCTCGTTTGAACAGAGGCAAGAGCAATCTGGTTCAGGTAACTCTCTTTTCACAAGACGTTTATCACGATTGATCATTAACCTAACAAGTGGCAACTTCAAAGAAACCTGTCGCCAAATTTCTTTTACTGTTCCATCTGGGTCCTCATATTCATAGTAATGCTTCACCTGAAGATTCCATAAATCAAGAGTACATATGTTCAAACATGAAGGTATTAAAGGGTTTCTTTATGTTTGCTTAGATGTTAAAGAGTCCACATCAACTAAAGCATGAGATACTTGAAGAATTTAGGAAAGATAACATGTAGGAACGAACTACACGGTAACCTATCCGGAACAGATCATAATATGGTTTATATGCAAGGAACTAATTCAGGCATCACCTAGCTTATGGCCACCAATATTTTATTCATGACAAAATAGTTGGCCTATAGCACTGAGATTAGCTGGGTAAGAGATCATCTGCCTTTGCTAGCAATTAAATGAGTCAAGTACCTAGAGAGCTAATCTAAATTTCCAAATAAACAATGTTCTTTTGTTGAGTGATTCAGAAGATATGAGACAACTGAACTTCTTCTAGAAAAAACAATTTTTTGTAATACACATTCTTCTTCAAATGAAATTGAACAGCTTCAGCTTAACTCTAAGGATGTTTCCATAGAAGAGACAAGAAGCAGAAATTGAAATATCAAAGATTTCAGTGATCCAACAGGTAGATAATATCTTTTTAGACAATGGAACATAAGAAACATTCACTAATACTTGCTCATCTGTTTCTTTGTTGTCACTGTCAAAAATCTTGCAGATCCTTCTAAACCTTGACGCATTTGTCAAGGCTCATATTAGACATCTTGGCACAAGATAGTAACTCTTTGAGAGAGGAAAAAGGGAACATACACACACACACACACACACCTCTTAGAGTGAGTCAGTATATCTATAGATTTTTCAATTCCTCAATCAAAGACTCGACGGGGGAAAACAGAAAAAGAACCTCACATGCTTATTTATGTACAGAGTGTGCGATGTATGTTTAACTCCAATTAGCAAATTTATTTTCTGGCTATAATAGGATGCAGGAACAATAATTATGTACTAGTATATACCTTTTTCAGCTCCCTTTGGTATTCCAAAACCCTCTCCATGCTTACTTTCCTGAGCTTTTTAACCAAGAACCCTGGCTTCACAGCTGTGTTAGAGTCTACAAAAATTGCGATTTTCCTGTAGTCCACAACATCCTCAAATGGCAATTCAATGTGATCACTGATGATTACAGGGACACACAAGCTCACAATAGCATCAAAAAGACGGCAAGCTGATGGAGTATCACCAGCTGGATGCAGACAAAATTTTGAAGTGTGCATCCCTTTTCTTGCCTCACGACGGCTCTCCCTAGATTGTGCACCATGTTTTATGATGACATCCTCTTCTTTCTCAAGCAATTGAAAAAGCAAATCACGAATTTTTCCTCCCTGACACATTACCAAACACACATAACATGATACCATTTGTCTTTATGTAAATAACTAAGGAACTTTGATGTGCATTGAGTGCAGGGAATAAGACAGAAGAAATAAGACGGTACCAGTAAATCCTATATCAGAAACAAGATATCAAACACCAAATTATGAAACTTTTCCAATCAAAATTACCTCCTTTCTGTATCGATTGCCCATGAAGAAGAGCAAAGAATTCCGATTATCAACGCCAATATCCCCAGTGTATGTGTTAATCCGATGTGAGTACGGCAAGATGACATCCTTAACAAGAGATGCCTGATTACGAGCCAGCCTTCCAAAATCAGAAACTAACAGCACTCCATTCTTCACCTTATCCACAACCTTGTATAAAGCATTAGGATCCTGGCATATAAACACGTGATCCCAACCATTGTTCCTTTTCCAGTACTCCTGCTTCTCCAACCATTCAATTAAAGACTCCTGCAACATGCACAATGCGATCATCTACCATTTTTATGCAATTTAATTCTGTAACACAAATGTATACACGTAAACAAATGCACTTCTGGATCTAACAAGCATGAGACGATCATCATCCTCTTTCTTTAGTTTTTCTTTTTCTGATCACAACTTTGTCCAGCCCAACTTATGTGCACCTCAACTAATACATAATTCTACCGACCAACACACGTACCGAATAATTCTACCTCCAATGTATATGCATTAATCAATGTGGACATTGTTCTGAAGCTCAACCATAAAATCTAAGCAACAAATTGGTGAACTAATAAAGAGAGTCCTCTAGAATAACAAGTGATAGATCATTTAAAACACAATTCACCAATTATAACTACTGTAACTAAATTAACAAGTATGAACCAATAGAAACAAGCTATGATAAAAAAGATGTAAACTTTAACTCAAAAAGC